CACACACACACACACACACACACACACACACACACACACACACACACACTTCATTCAGGTGTCCTACATCTCATCGCCGGCTCCAAGCTGAGAGCCGACATGAAAGCATCTGTGCACAAGGAGCGTGGCAGGGAATTGAAAATTAATTTAATAATCTGGGCAGAGCTTCTACTTAAAGGGCCACCATGGGTTAATTATAAAAATCAAACATACATCACCATGACACGACTGTGCCACGCATGTCAGGATTTCAGCTCCGGCTAGATTTCCTTATATAAATGTGTGAGGCATGGATGTGGTAGAAAACCATCCAGCAGGTGGGATTTATTTCAGAGACGTGAAAAGAAACCAGGTGTCTGGTAACCGGGTTTCTTCAGGACAATGACAGTGAAGGAACATAAACAAGCCTTGATCCAATGAAACCAAGCAACCATGACGCCAATCTTGCGCCTCATCGGAAGGTGCACCTATATGAGGCTGCTCAAACACACATGGGTGCACACATGATTCGATTTGGTGTTACACTCAAATGAAACTAAATGTGCAGTCAGTGACACAGATCATGAGACTTTAAAAAAAAAAAAAAAAAAAAAAAAAAAAAGGTGCAATAGCATTTGCTATATAAAGACATAGTGGAGTGACGTCTACCAGAGCAGAGGATGAAGTCGCTCTCCCTCTATTCACGCAACTGGACCGTACTTAAAGTGCATGTTAGTGCATGTGAGCGAGCCCCACATGCTAGGTGACGGCCGCCGCTCCGCTCTGCGCTCGTACGGCGGTTACAGCCGATTATGCTGTCCCGACCAACTGCGCAATTGCGGAAGCGTAGTACCCACCCTCCGGTTCTCCCTCATGCAGAGACTGTTAGCTCTGTCAGCACTTTTGCTGTAGTTTGCACTGTTAGCGTTGTTAGCACTGTTATTTATGAACCGCCAGCGCAGCTGTTGCCATGTTGAGAGCCGTTGAGAGGCAATCAAAATGCTCCCAATCCCGTAAATCGCACCTTTAAATGGAGTTGTGTTGTATTTTTTGGCATTACAGGTAAAAGAAAAAGGGAAGTTAGTTAGTAGTAAATGATTAGTCGAGGTGTACAGTAGTCCTATAGGTTTCATCATGTAGCATCATTCAATAGAAGGCTTAATTCAGCCCTCAAATTTGTTTAAAATTGACTAAACAATCCAACGCAGTACATCACACCTGAGTGCAGTGGTGGAAGAATCACTCAAAATCTTTAAGTTTTATAAGCTTATCACATTTTTTTATGTGCAACATCTTATTTTGAAAACTAACTAAACTATAGCTGTCAGTTACATGTAGTGGAGTAAAAAGTAGGCTGCAACAATTCCCTCTGAAATGAAGTAGAGTAAAAGTATAAAGTAGCATAAAATAAAAATACAATTAAAGTACAAGTACCTCAGAATTGTACTTATTTGCAGTACTTGAGTACGGAGTTAAAATCCACCACTGCCTCAGATTTGTGCAGCTTTTAGGTTTTTCTGTTAAATTAAGGCCAAAGTGTTGAAAATGATTTGCACAACTGAGTGATGATACAAAGTGATAGAATACAATCAATTTACATAAACACAGATGATTTAAATATACCACTAATCCAAAAGTTCCTCTAAAGGCCCGAATCTCAGTGATGATTTAGGCATTTGATTTGGACGTTGGCAGAGATCCATTGATAATTCACAGTGGATTTCCTTCACAGTAACGGCTCAGTTATTAGTCCTGTATGGCTATTTAATGGCGGGTCTAGGTGAGAGTCATTTGAACACTTCTATATTAACTTTTATGACATTTATGATGCCTTAGTGAGGCGGGGTGTGTCGGATCAAAGAGAACATGTGGTAAAGAGGTGCTGCATGGTGAAGTACAAGTCTGCTGAAGAAACTCCAAAAGATTAATGTTCAACTACAATAAACTAGTGCGTCAAAGAGTCTCCTGGCAGATCACTTTTCCTTCATTTACACTGCAGGATGGTCTCATGGCGGCACTGAAAAAAAGAGACTCAAAGGAGACTTGGCAGAAAAAGAGAGGCAAGTCACTTATGTGTGAACAAGAGATAATTATTAAAGGTGGCAGTCGGTTAGTAGTGATCATTAAAACATAGAAAGAACATCAATAAGTTACAAACTTCTACTTAAACTGAGCTCTCACATTAAGATTTGATCTAGTTTTGTGACTGATCCACAGCAGTGGAAAGTAACTAAGTACATCTACTCAAATACTCTACTTAAGTACAATTACGAGGTATTTGTTCCCCTGCCGTATTAGAATCGTGACTTAACTAAACTTAGACTGATTAATTCAAAGTCGTCTTGTGAGTTTTGAAAATAAAACGGGAGTTAAATTTCACTGAACTTGAGAAAACAAGTTCGATAAATATTTATTAAGTTCAGTCAGATCAGTCGCAGTCACATTTTCTTAGTCTTGTTGGAGCTTCTTTGTACCAGAGTTACTACAAAAGGCAACCGATTATCCATTTCATTTCACAT